ATTATTCATGATCCTTAATAATATTTCTCTTTTTTCTTATTCTTTCACATTCAGTAACCCGTTGTGTCTTGTTGACTTTACTACTTTGCATCGAGTGATATTGTAAGCGATCTGGGATTACAAAGGAAATGTTTGTCAGAGATTATTTCCACGTCACAGAGAATAAATCACTAAGTTCAGACTCGAACATCGGGGGCAGAAAGAAATGCCAAAAACTTGATTCGCAGGTACTATCTCATGAATCACAATGCATGCAACCAGTCAGAAAAATAACTCATTCTCCAACAAACGTGGTAACCAAAATACCCGAATTTTGCTCCCAGATTCGAGAACACCAACTGCTTTTATTGGAGAGGATGTTCAGTAATTTGCATATCAAAATACTTTTATAGCGACTCCTGCGACGGACTTGTTTTTTAATTCAAATATTCCATCTTCAGCATGTCATGTGGAATACATGCCCTTTTGTTTGGTAAGTAATTTTCTTTTTCGCCACATTTTCCGTTGTAGAATACACGCAACGTGTTGTCGCTTCGTTTGACGAGGTAAATCGCCGTTTTCTTCGCTATAGATAAAAAAAATAGACGTGGAATAACTTTCGCCAAAAAATAGTAACCTCGGAAGTACTTCAAATACGATAAAATACGATGTTAGCTTATATGGATCTGATTAAATAAGTTTTCTAAATTGAGAAGATTGAAATGGAAAACATATTTGTATATACATTATCATTTAATACTTTATATATACTTAATAAAAATTATTTAATATCTTGGATTACTATTGGCTGATAATACAATTTTAGATCTGTTCGGCTATTAATATATTGTGGGATTATATACGTATATTTCATAACGATTTATATTTTATTCACTGTACAAAGTATTTTTTAAATAAACTCTATGAATACTCTTCTGTTACTTGAACAAATAACTAGAATTCTGTATTCAATTTGGATTTAGACCTGTTTTTACGGCTTATCAACCCTTTGTGGGTTATTTAAAGCCGGGACATTTTTTTATTGTAAGAAAAATTCTGATATTTTGCGACTGTAACATTAACAAATGTTTGGAGGAAATAATTATGGCTCTATATACAATTCGTGTTTTAACCCATAGCTGGGGTGGGGGAGAAGAAATGGTTTCGTACCTTTCTCAAGGATATTTGCCTGTAATTGAATGTAACGAACTCTCAGACATATAATTCCGTGCCGCTATCCATTACACCATCCGCACATCCACTCTGAATTCAAACCACGAAGAAAGCAGCGGGAAACCACTCCACTATCTTTCCCAAGAAATCATGGTAATCCCAAGATAATATAGAAAAGGAATCTGTGGGAAGACATGATCGCCTGTGTCCTGATTTTATCTGATTACCTAATTTAGTAAACTTTTAAAATTTTAAATATTATAATCTAAGCTTAAGTATAAAAAAAATATTTACTTTTGTTTGTTTTTTTACATTGAATACAAAGTTAATATTGTAGAAAATAGATTTTGAATCCCTACAGATTCAATAATTTCTGTTGTAAACTTCGCCATCAAGTACAGAAAACATGGAAATTTCGAATTTGGTGTAATACATTATATGTATGTATATCAGGGGTACCGATGGTATGTTTGTAAAGGGAGGTGCACTCAGTATATTGTAATTAAGTAGAATTCATGTATCTGCGTTTATTCCGTTGAATTTTCCAAGTTTCGGCGAGTTTTGACTTGTTATTTACGGCTTATCAACCCCTCGCGAGTTATTTAAAGACAGAAAATATTTTTAGATTGTAAGAACCTTTTTGAGACAATAATGATTCGGTGATCGTACAGGAAGCAGTGTTTCAACGTAATATAGTCGGAAGCCTTCAGCGAGTTAAAAAATGCTATTAAATTTAACTCATTAACTGCCAAATATTTTTAATGCTCATTTTGGCCCAGACAGGTGTCTTAGGAGTTTATTTATTCCTTATTTTTATTTTCAGTAGTTACCATTGTCATTTTTATAGAAACTAGAACATCAAATATATATGTGTATAAAAGATCAAAAAATAATATTAATTAGAAATAATTAAAAAAATACTTTTCAAAATAGTTATTATTTTTCTACTCGTCAAATGTAAAATTACGGCAGAAAGTATCTTCTTACGGATAATAATAAAAACGTTAAAGGCTAAGTGTTGTAAAATATACCCCTGCAAATGCAATGTATGTAAGCAGTTCAATGTAAATACAAGGAATAACATGTAGTGAGTTTAATTTTAACAAATCCCCAAATGGGGCTCATGGCAGGTTAATGCTCCCGCTAATTGCTCTAATAAGCAGAGTCGATATCTTGTTTGGCGTAGCAACCTTCTGAACTACTGATTGATTTAATGAGGTTGATAGTTTCTAATCCGAAATTTCTTTAATTCCTCTTAATCCGAAAGGAATAAAGCCGACTGAGCGATTGGGTAACGCTGTTGTAATTGGTGTCCATAAGACGGAACTTTGATGTTAATAAACACTAGTTAAAAATGGCGTGTTTTTTAAACATTGAATTTCCATTAATCCGTCAGGCGAGCAGTACATACGTTTACAGTATTCATAGTAGATGTGGACACGTGTGACAACCCATCTTCGAGCACTGTCGTTACAAACAGCTTGTTTATTGTTGTCCACTACTTTTCTTTGATTATATTTTATCACGGGAAGGAATCGGGTCTTGAATTAATAGCTTTAAACTCTTAGAGGAACTTTTTTTTGCTTTACATCAGCATGGCTGTTGCTTACCTCCAGGAGAGTAACTCATTGCGCCACTATTTTCCGCTGACATGAATTAGAACGATTCTGTTATACAGAGTGTGAGAGGTAAATGGTCGCCATTTTATATTTTTAATTTCGCGCATGCGTGTTGTTTTCTTTGATTTTGTCGACTGCACAGTATAGTAGGGTCAGCTGAGCACAGTCTGTGAGAAAAAGAGCACCATGACGCAACTGACTCCGTTAGAAATTTGACATGATGTACTGCTTAGCATTCGCGCCGAAATCGTCAATACAAACAATTCAGTGTTTGGATGTCAATCTGAGGACTGCGCAGAGGATTCAGAAAGAATTGGAATGAGTTTAATGGAAATTACCGTGGAACGTCAGCTCGAAAAAAATCTCACTCTGATCATTCTGATAAGAAAAGAACTCCCGAATTTGCTGGTGAAGGACTCAGACTCAACAAAGAAGCATATATCAAGTGCTTTGAGGAAGAAGTACTCCTCTGGGTCAAGAGGCTGGCTGCTGGAAGACCCTAAGTCTAGCAACAGGACTCTGCACCATATCACGCAAGCAGGAGAACCCAGTCATGGCTGTCATACAATTTCTGCTACCACATCCCCCCCTACATCTGACCACCTAACTCCCCAGACTGCAACCCCCTTTATTATGTGTGAGGCGCAGTTGAACGAGAGAGCGACAAAATCCTTGTAACACCAAAGATGAACTGAGGCAAAGATTATGAAGCGCTCCTCAACTTAAACAAGGAGACCGTCCAGAAGAGTTGCAGGAGTTTCCGAAGTTGCCTGGAGGCCATGATTGCAGCCAATGACGATTTTATTAAATAAATTTACTCTTTAGTATTTCAAGATATTTTTGTGTAATTTTGGTAAATATATCTGTTAAAATGAGATGTCAGTGTTATTTTCATTTTTGCGTAATTTAGATGACAATTTATCCATTGCATCCTGTATATATGTGTGGGTCTGTTAAGAAACTTGGTTCATTGTCGTTCCAACCATTTTTTTACCTGATCTATCTTGCTACTTTATAAGTTTGCCATCCGTCCCTGCATAATATTACTGCTACATCTGCTATGTAGCTTCTGCTATCTATCTAGAGATTCTTGACAAAATCGAAAGAATATTGTGCAACGTTATCGGTCTTATCCTGGCATCCCGTCTTCAGTCACTTTCCCACTGTCATAACATAGCTTCCCTTTGCTTTTTCTATTTATTGCTTATTGTTCTGATCAGCTTTCCTTTATTGAATTTAAGCGCAGTACTAGATTGGCAGTAAGGTCTCATCAGTTTACTGCTGATATAGATGTAACCATAAGTTCTATTCTAACAGTTTCTTCCCTCCCACTTCTCGCCTGTGGGACTTTCTTCAGTGCTTATATGGTTTCCTTTCTCCAGCGACTGAACATTCTAACATCTTTTTCAATGAGAAACATCCATTTCATTTCACACCGTCTTATAAAACGAAATTAAGAGATTTTGTATTATTTACTAAAATAATTATTACTATTTTATTTGAAACGTTCATGCATCTTCTTGATTTGAATTTAATTTCGACCTTTTGCTTCAACCACTGCTGTCTTGGGCACTTAATCTGAAAAGGTGAACAGAAGTCTAAAAATAAAACTGCTGCTGTTAATAAGTTTAGAGGCAAATGAATTGATGTTTAGTAAAGGGTACCGATCACTGTTTGTAATTCTAGTCAGAGCATGGTACTTAACACAGCATTGTAAAATTTGAAAAACAAAAACAAAAAAAGAATGGCATTGTTTATTTGCTTTTTGAAAGTAATTTTTTGCAGCAAAGGGAAATAGCATCAACAATTACAGCATTTAGAGCATTGGAGATTAGTCTACACTAACTTGAAGCGAATCCGACGAATATGGTTCAACATAAATTAAAATCTTCTAAATAATTGTTTTAGAGCAAATAAGAAATGCTTCCTTCGAACAAAAACCTTCTAATTCGGTCTTCAAAGGATTCAGCCAACAACATCCGGATAAATTGCTATTGTTTGAAATAAAATACCTTTCTTGGATTTATTGGCACATCGAAAGTCTTTATTTAGACAGAAAAATAAAACAGCTTGTTTCATGGTAATAATCTCTATATAAGGAACGATATCCGTCAGTTTAATCAGAGTCGAGTCCGTTCTTCTCTCCGACGCTGTTACATACGCACACTTATACACTCTCATCAAACACACAAACTGTTCAGTCAGTCAATCTAGCCAACAAGAGATCATATGGTTTCCTCTCTCCAGCGACTCACTCTAACTTCTTTTCCACTCAGAAGCATCCATTTCATTTCACACTGTCTTAGAAAAAGAACTTAAAAGATTTTGTATTATTTACTAAAATAATTATTGCTATTTTATTTGAAACGTTCACGTATCTTCTTGATTTGTTTGAATTTAATTTCGACCTTTTGCTTCAACTCAATTTCGACAAGGCTGTATTTTTTGCTAGTGAAAGATAATCTATTTTTATTCATCTCCAACTTCCAAGAAGGCATATTGAAAATTCTCATGTATTATTTTTTTTCTTTTTAATTAGGAAAAGTACAAACTAGCGGAAAAGGTAATCACATTATCGGAGAAAATGATTTTCCCTTGAATACCTGGAATGGAATATTTTAAGAGAATACGAAATTATATGAAAGAATAATAGAATTTACTTTTTATATAAAAAATGTATATTTAAAAGATTATTGCATTATTGTTTTGTATTAAAAGATGAAAAAATACCGTCTTTTTATCAATGCTGAAAATAAAAGTAAATTTTTACTTCAAACGTAGAAGAAATTTTCCTCGAGTTTTGTGTTAAGAAAAGTCAGTCTTTCTTTTTCAAAAGTTATATACAAAAACTTAACCCAGTCACTTACTCAATTGTATTATTGCTTTGCAACAAAAGAAGAAAAAAATTCGTTCTTTTATCTATGTGGAAAATAAAAGTAAATCATCACTTCGCTCTAACTGCTGACTTCAAGTAAGCGTTCAGTTCATATGTATTTCGCCCGACTCCTACCGCACCTCAAAACTCATTAATTATTCATCAGTTAATTATTTCTCCAAGCCTGAAGACATGACATCGACCCTCGAACAAAGCGGTTAGTATTTGAAAACATTAAACTTGGTATCCATATTCCTTTTTTTTACCATCAGTTGTGTCATAACTGAATTTTTACCGTTAACAAATTTTTGTGTTTAAAAATTTATTTCAAATTGGCAAAGAATTCTCTTTGTTGAATTCCAATGAATTCTCTTTGTTTATCGATTTCCTAATACGACCAAAATAATTTCCTGCCCAGTTGCATGTTTACAAAACCTGGCGTTGCTAATTCTTTTGGTTTACCCAAATTTGCTCCCCGGTCGTCAATGACCTTCAAATACCAAAACAGTCACCTATTCAAACAAGAAAAGTTGATTTTTGTTTGGAGTTCACTATTTGCCCATAACTGGGACCATAACAGATTCTACAACTCCGGGTCAGGGTGCTCTTGGAAACAACAGCAATTAAGAAATGGTTCCACGTTTCTCAAAACATTCACTCTCCCGATCAGAGGTCTTACTGCTGGATGTAGTTTTTCATCATATCCATATAATATTTTATCGCCTAGCTTAGAGCAAAATGATTGAAGGAAAAAAATTCGGTGTGATTTTGCATAAAAAGCAATATTTCTCAAGATTTCCTTACATTGGTAACATAATTTTGGTCAAAGATTTTGTATATAGCGCTGGTACGAGGGTCAGTCGGTTATGTGCCATGAGCAATACACGCTTAGGCGATCATGTATCTTTCGATACATGACTGACATGGCAGATTTTTCCCCGCAGTAGGTTGCCATTTCTTTCTGCGGTTGACCAGTTGCCATCCAAGGCTATAGAACCCGGTCTGTTCTACTATTTAACAATAATGGGCGGAAGAAGAAAATGATTCATACCTTTCCCAAGGGTATTAGCACGTAAGCGAATGCAATGGATTCGACTGGAATTCGAACTCGGCTCTCCGATTCTTCAAACCGAGCCGCTATCCATTACTCCACCGAGGGTAACATTGTAATGAATCAAAATATATGAGGACCTAGTTTTGTTTACTGCTATCATAATGGATTCTAACTTAAGGTTGCTTTTTAATTTGGTGAGTGTAGAAGTCAAGTGACTTACCTGCTAACATGACTGCCTTCTTGTGTCTTGTTGGAAAAGCAATCCAGCTAATTTTACCTCATTTATAGGAGAGTACCTAATGCCCCAGTTGGGTTGGTCTATTTTGCTAAAATAGACCTGCCCAACACATTTGCATGAGTGGTCTCTATTCGCCCATATATCTCTCCATTAAATGACTCGGCCGAGTTTGACTGGTGATTACACCAGTCTACTTGTGTGTCAGACCACTTGTAAGCTACCCAATATTCTACAGTGAGTATGATGGGGTTAACATTAGGACTGGGAGATTCAATATTTTATACCCAACATAATAGTTTCCATTCCATAACAGTGTTAATAGGACATTTATAATGGCTAAAACTGTCTTGAAATCGAAACTTGTTGTAAATACTAATGCCTGGTAGTAACGCTATAGATCATTATCGTCGAGATCATTAGATAATTTAAAGTTATCATTTACCACACTAGATAGATGCAGAAGTAACTTCCAGGTTATGAGAACTGATTAAATTCTTGACCAACAATATACGGAGCTACATTTCAAAGTATTCTAAATATCTGTAGATCACCATGAAAAATTTATTTCATTTATTCACCATAATCACATAATGCCAGCACCTTTGTGTGAGAATTTCTAGCCTGGTTATTCGTTGTTCCAACGTGGGAGACATATTCATCATAGTTTGCTTGATAACTCTTAGATTAAAAGTAAATAATTGATTGTCTCTTATCAGAAATATCACATCTAGTAAATTTCATAACAGGAATACTGTCTTCAAATATATGTACTGTTTGGTCTTGGATATTCGTGTAAGTGTTCAAAAACTTTCTTAACTACGTCCTTCGCTACTTATTTAGAAAGTTAGTTGAAAATGATGTCAAATCGTATCAAGTTGATAAATATTACTAGTCATCTGGATCAATTTGCTCATACTTCAAACAGTTATGAAAGAGTACATTTTTTTGTGGACCCGGTTTTTGAGCAGGGACAGTAGTAATATTAAGATTAGTGTAATTATCCTGATAGTATCCTTTCTGTGTGTTTTCTTTTTCTTTTTATGCGAATATTTATCCTGGTCACGGCACCAAATCTTACCGGTCGTGTTGCGCGCAGCGATCGTATGACTAATGCGAGAAGTCTCGGGTGGACAGAAAGTAAATGAAGAAGCACATGTATTGTAAACAGCACAGAACGGAATCATTGATCTGTAACACGGTAACTTGTTTGTTAGGTAAGTGTATTTTATAGTTCTGGTTTCTGGAGGTAGGGAGTTGGAAAAGAAAAATTAATAAGTTTGAATCATTTGATGAAATCAAATTTTCCCAAGAAATTTGACTCTGAAAAAAAATCTATTATTCAAAGGATTGCAGATTTTAACAGGTAATAACATTGTTTTGCCTATGTTCGCCTAGAAGCTTATCAGGCGAATATGTAAAGTTGTTATTTTGAATGCAGATGGCATTGAAAGTTGGCGATATTTAAAATCTGGATAAGTTAAATCAAACCAGAGAAATGGCCCTCTTTCACCCCTCTTTTGATCAACGGATTAGTTCTCATATATAACAGCATTTTGGCGAACGGAGGCAGAGAGAAAGCCAGGAGAATCGCGAAGAGATACATCGAAGAATGACTGATCAAGAAACATGCAATTCACATCCTGAAATTAATCCGATGCTGGATTTTCTAACATATGTTTGAGAATACATACTTTGGTTCGATGTCGCCACCCACTCGAGAGTTGTTAAGCTGTATCAAACTTTTGTAAATATTCCATCTTTATTTACTATTATTAAAACTCTCATTTTCAACCAAGATCAGGTCTTCTACTTCAGACAAGAGTATGACTCTTTTCTTTAGCCCAGTCGTCAAATAAAATACCACGGCTTACTAAATCAAGGGAAAGGGCAACCCAACTTTTTCTTGTCAGTAAGAAACACAACACTTAACAGCAACTCTGGACGCTCGACGATCTAACTGGCACCAACTACTTGGCCAGTTTAAAACTGTATGTAACCATTTTGACCCCACAGCCATCCCAAAATGAAGATATCAACGAGAAAAGACATAGTCCGATTATTACAGAGTAAGCTCTCCACCCAAAGTCTATTCTTTCTTGCAATGGTTGTCTCTGCGATCAGGTGATGGTAAGCAACTCTTTTTTCGTATTTTCGACGTTATCGTGGCTCTTTTGTATGGCATTTTCCCTCGACTCTTTCGGAGTGTTTCTTTTGGATATTTTTACGTCTATACCTAATGTTTGTTCCCTACAACAATCCTCTTCAAACGTGCCACGCAATAACCAATAGTTATTTTTCTCTATAACTCTCTTTCTATTGTCACCTTTCAAAGCGATTCAGTATTTCCCACGTTCACTTATGAATTCCTTAAAGCTTAAAACATTTTATTTTTAACTTGTTAAACAAACATACTTGGCACCTACATTTTTGATAATTCTGAATGTACATTCGCTATTCTTGACATTCTAGAACTACTAATTTTACATTTTATTTTTAAAATAGTTCTCCAGCACATCTCTCCATCAAATGACATAACATAACAGGTGTTGTGTAAAAGTTCCCGGCTTTTTTTTTTTTTCACCTTGCGACTGAATATGCAGTTAAAAAAAGTGTTTTGCTGGAAGCTTTTTCACAGACCTATTATATAATTTTATATATATTTAATAAAGACGAACAGTAATATCGTTTTTAATGATATTTTTTTTAATGGTATCGTCCCAATCAAGGTGATAATTCCACTAAAACGCCAGGGTCTACCGAGAGAAAGAGAATTTAGTGAAGAGAAAGGACAGTAAAAGAACAGATTGGCAAGAGCTACTTATCAAAATTGGCATTCCAGCTGACTCTGCCAAGACCTATGCTGAATCTTTTGTAAAGGAAAGCACTACCAAGGATAGCCTCTCTATGATAAACCCCCGGGGTGGGGGGGTAAAAGATTTTTTTGCTTGATGTTGCATTTAAAGTTAGCAGATCGTAGTTGACAAGAATGTAAGAAACTGAAAGAGAGTTCCAAAGTAAACAAGTGAAAGAAACTAAACTATTAATATAGAACTTAAGGTTGCATTTAACAATTTCAAAAGTAAAACTGTGAGACCAATCTAATAGTGCACTTAAATTTATGCGGTCAGGGTAACAAGTGGTGGTGGTGGTGGGGGGGGCTCATTAAAACAATTGCCTTGGAAATATTTATAAAAAAAAGACACAGGGAAGCCACGTAACGGCGTTGGTAAAATGACTGAAGTCACGGTGCCAGGTCAGGACAGATATTTCATTGGATTTTGTCGAACATCTCCAGATATATAGCAGAAGCACCAAGCCAAATATGGCAGCAATATTCAATGGTAGATTTATAAATCTGCAAGATGAATTCTGGCGAGAAAAAAATTATCTCGCACGATCCAATGAAGCAACTTTCCTAGCAGCAGACTTAGCAATTAATTCAGCATAATCACTCCACTTCATGTCGGTGGAAAATCTGGGACCATGAAAGCACAATAAATTGCTATCAAGGAGGTTAGCATCAGCCATGCTGATGGAAATTTTAAAAAATCTTCTCTATGATGATTAAAAAAAGAATAGTTTCTTTTTGGAGGCGTTAAAATTTACAAGTCAATTCTTGCCCCAGTTAACAACTGATTGCTGGTCATTTTCGAGAGTAGCTTTTTTTTTAGTTTTACTTTGTCGTAGTTATCGAACTTACTATTAAGACAGGAATAAATAGTTGTGTCATCAGCATAAATATCTATTTTAGATATATTTTATAATGGCGAGAACGTATTTTCGGACACCTGATGTTACCTCAAACATGAGGAGCCACATCGTTTGACTATTTTGGGTTTAGGGATTTTATAATCAGAAGAAAGAGAGGAAAATAAGCAAAACCGGAACATCAGTAATTTTCAACGGAGGGTGACTAGAATCTTCCATTTTTAAGGAATTAATTGCACATAACGCGAAAGGACAGACTGATTTATAAACTCACAAGAAGAATCAAAAATGGAGCTCAGGAATCCGTATTCTCCAGACTAAAAATGGTTCACGTGGTCTTGTGGTAGATAACTTATTTTCTACTATATAGCCTCTTTTCCACAGATGAAACATTTCAAAGCCAGTCGCTATTATATTTGTTCAGATGAGCACCACTCTTTAGTTCCACCAGATCATACCTTTATAGCTAGGAGTCGCTATGCCATTGAATCATCCACATTCTATCCATATTCCCTTTGTAAGCAGGAAGTTCACTCAGACAACTTTTTCGCGAGAACTGCAAATTTTTCGAACAAACTTACGTGTGAATGTTTCCCTGGACATTACAATCCTAATTTATTCAAGTCAAGACTCAATAAATATCTATCCCCCTTGTCCTGATAATCTTAACTTCTTACATTCATATTATTCACGTAATTCAGTAACCCTTTACCATGAGTGGCTCTTGAACGATATATTGAGTTCTTTAACGCCAAAACCAGTTTGCTTGAGCCTGTTCATAATATGAGTGAGGAACAGTGTCCTGTTTTCTATTGAGCTTCTATCACAAGATACGCAGCAAGTAATATGAAAAGAAAGAAACGAATTTAGGAAGAGCAAAAAAAAAAAAAGACATCTTTTGCTTCTTTGGTTTCTTTACAGTTCCACTTTCTGTATAGCTGGATAAGATGAAGAAGAAACTTGGTGCAACAAAAATCAAGACCACGCAAGGTTGTTCACGTCAGGTTGCTGAATATATTGCATACCTACAGTACCGAGCTAACACTTTGCAATGTTGCAGACACGCTGTATTTTGATTGGAGGAATATGCGTGGTTATGACGACATTACTGTCACCCTGCAATGAAGAGTTATCTTGGCGCCAATTTGACCACACACCCACAGCGTTGTGAGAAAGTTATGGTAACGTGGCCAAGCGTTGTGCCTACAAAATTCTGCACTGGTCAATTATAATATCAGAATATTTTTCTTCGTTTAATAATATGTATAAGAAGTAAAAAAAAATATTTTCCATTGAGAATAACTATTCCAGTGAATGATGAACAATCTCCTCAAAGATGAAGAAGAGACTTGAAGCAATAGAAATATGGTTCTACAGAAGGATGTTGATGATACCATAGACCGAAGACATGACCAGGTTTTAGAGAAAATGGAAACAAAAAGGAAACTTATAGCTAAGATCAGGAAGAGACAGTTGACATTTCTGGGGCACATCATGAGAAAGGAGGCTTGGAAAATCTGTTACTCACAGGACAGATTGAGGGCAAGTAGGACAGAGGAAAACAATATACTTGATGAACTCCAGAAAATGGATGACGGAACAGGGTTTAATAATAAAGAAAAGACAAAATTTATTTAGAGCTGCAAGGGACAGGAAATTGTAGAGAGCCATAATCGTCTACGTCCTGGGGAGACACGGTACATAAAGAGAGAGGGGGGGTAACCATTCACAGGAATCCATGCCAAACCATATTCCAAAAGGGAGAATTCTTATAATGCTCAGTACTATATCAAAGGCTTTGTAGATCCAATGCTCGAACCTATTCCACTTTAAACACGACTCCGAGTCGGCTTCCAACTCAAAGCCTTAGCCTTAACTACGAATATAGAACATTAAATAATTAAGACCAACATTATTATTTAATACGTACATATATTCAATAATGACAAATAGGAATATTATTTAGGGTTTAGGAAAGATTATAAAAGGAGAAAATTTACTAAGAGCTACAAAGGACGGGAAATCGTGGAGCGCCATGATCTTCAACATCCAGAAGGAACACGTCACATAGAAAAAGAAGGTGCTCTTCTTTTCCGGAAAGGAAAAAAACGCAGTACAAACAGAAACGCAAGATATGCGCCGTTTGTGGAGATGGTGCCGTAGCTGGGGTTCTTAATATATAAAGTCTTAAATTGACCAGTTGCTGTATTTTGAAAAAATATGGTCAGTATATTTAAATACAATTATTATAACTCATCCAGAAGAATAAAGATAAAATAAATAGAATTTAAGCAGTTTGAAATTAGCGATATGCTATGCTGATGACACAAGTATTTACATTTGTCTTAATAGTAAACCCGATAAGTTCAATAAAATCAAATTGGTGTCGGAGTTTGAAAATGACCTGTAACCCGTTTTTAACAGGGGAAAGAAATTGCATGTTAATTTTAACGCCCCAAAAAGAAACTGCTCTCTTTTTGTTATGGTAAATTACCCATACGCAGATGGACTCTTCCAAGTTACAAATAAAACCAGGTTCTGCTTTTTGTCAGAGTTTTTTTTTCCCAACAGTCAGTTCAGACTTAAAATTCTTGCTCGTTTGTATATTATTGTATTACCGATTTTCGTTAATATATTTGTTAACTCAAATTCACTCTTGTGTCTTTATTCTGGCCAGAACAAGGCCAGAACAAGGCCACAACACTTAATCGTTTTAAAGAACCTTTTTTCCTTCCTTCAGCATGGCTGACATTCACCTTCAGGAGAGCAACTCACCGTACCTTCGTGGTCTCACGTTTTCGACTAGCATGAAGTTGAACGATTATATTGAATCAACTGCTAAGTCTGCTGATAGGAAAGTTGGTCCCCGATGTCATGCTAGAATCTATCTTGCCACTTTATAAGTCTACCGTTCATCCGTGCATCGAACATAGATTCTACATCTAGCCTGGTGCTTTTTGCGTCTAGAGATTCCTTGCAAAATCTAAAGAAACTGAAAGCTTATCGGTCCTGACCTGACATCTCAACTTCAGCCATTTTCCCATCGCCGTAACGTTGCTTTCCTGTACCTTTTATATAAATATTTACATGGTAATTGTTCTGATGAATTTTCCTTTTTGGTATCCCGACATCATGAATGTAAACGTTTTACTAGATTGGCAGTTACGTCTCATCATTGCAAGATGTAAAGTTATATGCTAACAATTTCTTCACACGCGCTTCTCGCTTGTGAATCTCTCTTCCAGCTGCCTGCTTTCCTTTCAACTACAGTCTTCAAAAATTTGCATACAATGTTAATTCTCATTTTCTTTCTCTTTGTCGCCTGTTCTTTCATTTTCCTCTCTCTTTCTTTTAGTCTCAGTAACCCCTTGCTTAGTGACTCTTAGTTACTTGCTTGGAATGAAGTGATTAAAAAATTGAAATTTGGAAATAGAAAATACACACGTGGAATTTCACTTGCAAGAGGATGTCATTGATATGTGTACGGATCAGTGTTTAAGAATAAAAACTTAATTATCAGGGAAATACCACCATTTAATACCCGAAGCTCAGTGCAGAAGTTGAGCCATTTTTAAATGCAGTCTCAACTTTGTACGTGGTTGAAGCTGATTTTAGCCACGCACATGCAATTCTAATTAAGAAACAGAATAAACCAGAACGAACAGGTTGACTTACGACTGAACCTGAACGAGCATGTGACTTACGACTGAACGTAAACGAACGTAGTAACGTACGACTGAACCGGAACGAACGTGGTGACGTACGACTGAACCTAAACGAGCGTGATGACGTACGACTGAACTTGAACGAGAATGGTGGCGTCCGACTGACTCGGAACGAACATTGTAACTTACGACTGAACCTGACCGAGACTGGTGACGTACGACCTAACCTGAACGAGAGTTGTGTCGTTCGACTGAACCTAAACGAGCGTGGTGACGTACGGCTGAACCTGAACGAAATTCGTGACGTACGACTGAACCTGAACGAGCATGGCGATTTACGACTGAACCGGAAGGATCGTTGTAACTTACGGCTGAACCTAAACGAACAGTGTGACTTACGTCTAAAACTCACAAATTTTCTATCTATTGCCAATTACCCTACTATTCGTCGTCAAACTTATCCTTCCCATTAATGATGGCAATTCACTAAAAATTAGGTTAGTTGTTGATAATATGATTATTATTACCAATGAAGATATTATGAATTACTTATGAATGTTTTTTCATAATCTGTTCTTCTTGCTATTATTATTATTATTTTAAAAATTATTTTTGGCCTGCATTTGTTTTATAATCTCATGCTGGGTCATAACCAATGACAATTTATTTATTTTTATTTATTTATTTATTTATTTTTGGTTCTCACTTAATTGAAGAAACGACAGCTATTAACAAAAAAAAAGTTCTTCACAGGATATGAGATGTGTTGTATTTCTTGGATTTTCTGGTGAGATGGTACACCAGAGATTTTGTCGAGTTCCTTTCTTTATCAGACTCAAAGCTCCAACCACAACATGAACAGTTTTAGTTTTTAAGTGCCACATTTTTTTTCTATTCCTATTTCCAGGTATTTGTACTTTGTTTTTGTCACTTGCTACGCTCATGTCAGTCAGGTTACAAACCTCTTCTTTTCTGTTTTTGATTATATATAGCCCAGACATTATTACTAGAGCCTCTCCTCACTTAACGAACACGCTCCGTTCCAATGACCAGATCGATAAACGAATTGGTCGATAAGCGAGGAGCTATACTAATAGTAATATTTCACCTTTTCATGATATCAAAGATAACCAACGTCTTCGATAATGTGAAAGGAGGACAGAAATGACGTCATATTTTCTAGTTTTAAGTGAACCAGCTTATTTACCTTTAATTTTTGGCCAGAGTATTGGCCATGAAGCGGTTTATCTTCCCATCTCTTCTGTATCAGGTCGGTTGCATTTGTTTTTGCTGTTTTTTTTTAAGTATTTTGCAGTTTCAGCCGGTGTATTGTGCTGTACTTGCATTTCTACGCCCATTTGAATCTCCATTTTGAATTTGTTGGCTTCTTTTATTACGGAGTAAAAACGCTCACTACTTTCATGTTCCTTGACGCATACCATCATCCAGTCTTCTGTAGTTTCCAAGTATCTTTGGAGTTCAATTGTTGCAGTTTTGTAGGACAGTTCTAGTTGAACTAATCCTCTGCCTCCTTCGGATCTGAGCACATACAGACGATCAACATCATCTTTGGGATTTTGCATGTGGTAGCAAGTGAGAAGCTTTCTTGTTTTGGCGTCCATTCGCTTAATTTCAGCTATGGCCCAGTTAAGGACATTAAAGCTGTATTGCACCACAGGGACAGCCAATGTGTTTATGGCTGATATTCTGTTTTTTGAGTCCAGATCGGTATTTAGTACCAGACGTGCACGCCTGTAGTACTCCTTTCTTATTTTTTTCCTTCATTTGGGGATATTGTATGCCATCTCCTTCGCTAATTCCTAGGTATTTATAAGCTTCATCATGCTCCAGTTCCCTAATCTTTGTGACAAAATCTAAATCTATTAAGGGTGTTTCTGTTTCTGTAATTCTGCCTTTTATTATTATTATTATTATTATTTCGATTTCTGCTATGGTCACACTATCTACCAAGTCTACGGGAAGACATTAGGTAGGTAGTGGTGTGTTATGGCTACATTTCATGATTTGTTTTTCTAACTCGCATAACATCACTAACGTTACAGGAACAAAGTTCTTCTTAGTGTGTGAGCTGTAGTTATCAAGACAATTTTTTCTATTTCTCTTAAACTGGGATTCCCAGGAATTTGAGTTACATGTACTATCCATTTTGGTTGTTACCACTGTTGGTAATCCTCAAGTGATGATGTTTCTGTCATTTCGTACAGTTCCTTAATTGTGATTCCGTAGCGCCAGTCCTCAATGTTCAAAGAAGGATGGTCTTTTTCAAGATTCAGGCATTTTAACAAAGTGTCTTGAGAAAGCGTTTGTATATAGTCGGCATTTTAGATATTTCTAAATGGGTTTGGCGCCATGCCTGACATCCATATGGCAAGGCTATTTAGGAAAATGTATCGAGTTTTCAGGTTGTTTTGATCTTGTAGCAATTTGTGGTGTTGGGTGAAACTAACTCTAGCGCAGCCTATTCTATGTCTAATTTCCTTATCTTCTATACTAAATCAGTGGTCTTCATCAAGTCATGCGACTTCAAACAGATAGCACCCTTGTACTACTAAGTAACACAGAGTTATTGTCATCATTATTATTATTATTGATTTATTTACTTTGGTTTCTGGTGTATACTCATTTCTTTTCGGGTCCCGACCAGAGACCTAAGGTAGGCAATGGCACCATGACATTTTCTACTGAACAGTTTTGAAAAAAAAAGAAAAAATATCGCGCATATTTTGCATACATAAGGTGAGGTGTGGGCTGTATTTGTGAGTACAATTTTTGTATTTCTTTAAGGCCTGAGCTGTCAATGAATCTATTGGAATCATTTTCTATCAATCCTAGTGCTCCAACAACAGGAATTATTAATGTCCTCATACGGCATATTTTGTGGATTTCGATTTCAAGGTCCTTGTATTTTGACAGTTTTTTGAAGATCTTCAAAGATACATTGCAGTCTGCAATGACTGCCATATCAACAAGGAGGCACGTTTTGTCTTTGCTGTGTCGAATCGCGATGTTAGGGCGATTAGATTTGATTGTTCTGTCTGTGTGTATTTTAAAGTCCCATAAAATTGTTACAGGTCCTATCTCCGTAACCGGGTCTGGATGGTGTTCATACCAATTGCTTGCAGTTTTTATTATTATTATTATTATTATTATTATTATTATTATTATTATTATTATTCAAATAAATCTAATATACGGAAAGAAACCGAAAGCGAAAATGGAAGAAAATGTACTGGCAAAAGAAACCTTATTGAGAAACAACAATGAAGAAAAAAGGCAATGGAATTTATACACTTGCTAAAAATAAGTATTAATGATTTATACAGGAGGATAAAAAAAAAAACAACGTATACAGTAGCGAAAACAAAACGCATTTTATTGACACAATAATAATATATCAATAATAAACATATCAGTAATAAACATATCAATGAGTCAAATGTTCAAAACTCCCCCCCAGCATTCACATACTCCTCTAGTCGAGAGTGGACACTCAAACACACTCTGGCACAAAGGTCTTTACCAGCATCAATATCCTGGCAAACATCCCGTATAAAATGAATCAGGCCATCAACAGAACATGGCTGACGTACGAAAACGAATTAAATACATCCTAGAACCACTATTATAATACTGGTATACTATTTACTATATACCCACTTTTGCCAGCCACTATATATATATATATATATATATATATATATATATATATATTATATTATATATATATATTATTATTTTTATTTTTTCCAGCGTTCTTATGTTTCCGTTTGGTAGACGTAAGGAATACAAAAAATTTCCATAATGTGCATTTTTTTTTTTGTTTCTTTTGTATTATTTACTTCCACCAAACGGAAAATGTAAGAACCCTGGAAAAAGTAAATAAAAATTAATAAAATATTTTCTTGTCTGCCATATTTAACGAAATATATATATATATATATATATATATATATATATATATATATATATATATATATATATATATATATATGCCTGGGGTTGGATCAGGGAGCAAGAGTTCCATGAAGGTGTTGATTATCTACAAAATTTGGGAACTCCTAAATGCGACAGAATAATGGAGCATCTGGTGAAGAACTAATTCGCTGATAATGTCTATGGCAGTTACTCAAACCAACGGAGTAAATAATGCCTTTTGTTGTTCTGAAACAACCACACTTACTGTGTTTAAATCTAAATAATTTTGGTGTCGACACAAATATACCTCAGTCGTGCCTTTCATTTCAGAATAGTGTGTGAAAGAGGCGGAAACAGACCAGAGGCTCGTTCCTAATCATTTTCTGGAATAACTATTGTAAACCAAGCAACCAAACATGATTATTAAAGACTAGGAGCAATTTTGTCTTTTTCACTTATAACAACCAAATAGATCTTTATTTATTAATTTATCTTACAGCAGAAGAGATCTAGAATATTGATACAGCTTTCAGTATCGGGTTCATTTTCGTGTTGAAATGTTTAGTTCTGGTTCTGTTGTTCGTCATGTTAAGTATGTTGTTGCTACTAGCTACGCAGGCATCAAGTCTAATCTCATTGAATATTTCTCTTCCTTCTTGCTGTCAGCCATTTTACTGATGACTGGCATTCCTCAATTCCCGTGGTTCGGACGGAAGTTGCTGTGGGAATGGGAGGCGTGCTCTTATTTCACTTCAACGATCCCTACTGCGTTTCGTTCCAGATACTTCGCGAATGTTCTTACTCTCCACAATGGCGGCGTTCGCTTCACTTTCCTTATAAGGCACAAACGGTCATTATATTGCTCGACTGGGCACAATAGGAGGAAACTCCAACAGTATAGTACCGGATAACAGCCTATTGATTATTGCATGGAACTGAAGCCCAAGAGGTGTACTGTTCCAAATCCACTTCCTGAAAAACGGCTCTCTTTCACTTGACAAAATAAACAATTATAATTTATGTTCCCATCAATATTGAGATCACTTATTCGTTTATATTCAGCTGTGAAAGCAATTTTTGGTATTACGATAAAATATAGCGACATTTTTCGTTATCCTATTATAATTTTGCCTGCTCCTTCTTTCCTGTGTTAGTTAAACCCGTATGTTAGACCTTTCTAATACTTCATATATAATGGACTGTTTCTTTTTGATCGAAGACGGAAAAAAAGAAACAAATATATTCGCTTGGTTTCAAGGAGAAAAAGAAACAATGAAAGAGAAGATAGGGAAGGTTGATAATGCACTCATGTCTTTAACGTCTCCTTCAGTGAAATTGAAAAGCTTGTCAGTTTTAAATCTTTTTATTTGTACACTCTTACTTCTTAAAATAACGACCTGCTTTTATACTTATGATATTTATTGCAATATTTAATTAAAGTTGTTAAATCTAAAAATATTTAACGTTGCAATAGGGGAATTTCCACGGGTATTCTATAGTCGGAAAACTCGTAATGATAGGTTAATCAGTCAGTTATGTTTTCGATACATGACTGACGAGGCAGACTTTTTTTCTCGCAGTGAGTTGCCATTTCTTTCTGCGGTAGACCAGTTGCCATCCAAGGCTATAGAACCCGATCTGCCCTGCTATTTACCCATAAGTGGAGGGAGAAGAAGATGATAATACCTTTCCTAAGGGTATTACCACGTAAGTGAACATTGTTCATTTCTTGTTTATTTGTTTGTATATTTAGCGGCATATCAACAACTTATGGGTCATTAAATGCTGAAATTTAACTTTCTTTGGAGCATTAATAATTTCTTTTACAAAAATATATTGCTGATAATATTTTTCTTAATTGAAATATATTGCTAGTAATATTTATTTCTTTATTTTTTGTTTTTTAAGAAAGCGTAAAGCTGGTAATTTTCTTACTATTAAAATGTATGATTGGTATTTTTAATATAAAAATGTTTATCCTTTCATCTTGCTTTCACCCCAGTTTGTGGGTTAACTCTTTGCCCATAGCTGGGACCCTAATAGGTGTTATCACCCTGGGTTAGGGTGGACCTGGGAACAACAAAAATTAAAAGGTGGTTCCACAGTCCTCAAAACCTCCTGATCAAAGACCTTGCTGCCGGATGTAGATTATTGTCGTGCCCAGGACATTGTTTATTTCTTGTGTTGTTTTGCTCCGTTCGTCTTCTTTTCATTATTGAAACTTCATCATGATAAAAAGAATCTTTCCACCACAGGCGGGATCGCAGTGGTAAAGAGAACAGCACAGACGTATCTTCTTCGCTCAGTGAAAATCCATAGTTGACGGTTTCAAAAGCTATAATTAACCACGAAAATCTCGGAACAATTATAAACAAGTAAGCCCAAATTTTAAAGAAACAGTAAACACAATAACCCTGAGAATATTTAACACGCGTAAAACCAATGCGGTGTCTTGAATCTTGATTAAATGATGATGATATTTCATCATTCTAGAAATAAAGATCTGAAATATCATCATCATGAATCATCACTGGTGGAAAGGTTGTTTTTAGAATGACAGAGACAAATTATTTTCTGACAGAGATATCTGGCAACAAGACATTAATGTGGATTCATGCCTTTCACAAAAGGTTATCGGCACGGTAAAAGAGTACTAGCTGAAATTTGAACACGGTTTTTCCTTATTGCGTTTACCGTGTCGATAACCGTTAGGCTAACCGGTACTTCCCCTCTTAAGCACAAACAACACAACACCAGAAGAAAAGTTACGAACTACACAACAGTAAAACAGACGTTAATGTCATGTTTGTTGATTGGTTCTTCACAACGAGGCTTTTTTGTTTTTCTATTTTTTTCTTTCATGTATCAAATAATTTTCCTTTTTAAATGTCTAATGTTGTTAACATCTTAGCACTTTAGAGTATTGTCACAACATTAGGGGTTTTCAAACAAGGGTATTAGCACGTAAGTGATTGTAATATAATGGATTCATCTGGAATTTGAACTCGGAACGCCGAGTTCGAAATCCAGCCGAATCCATTACATTCACTTACGTGCTAATACCCTTGGGAAAGGTATGAATCGTCTTCTTCTCCCCACAACTATGGGTAAATAGCAGGACAGACCGAGTTCTATAGCCTTGGATGGCAACTGGTCTACCGCAGAAAGAAATGGAAACCTACTGCGGGAAAAAATCTGCCTCGTCAGTCATGCATCGAAAGATACATGATCGCCTAAATGTTTACCACGCATGACACATAACTGACTGACATGAAATTATTATAGATCTATCATTCAGTTCCTAGTTTTCTTGTTATGCATTACTTTTGGATGTTTTTTCTAGGTTGTGTAATATAAATAGAAAAAAATGTTTTATTTTGAAAAGTCCAATTTTAAAGGGCGATATTTAAAAAATGAATTTGTAAATTTCAAAAATTCAAATATGCAGAAATAAGTTTCATTTTAATTCTAGTAAATAAAGAAAACGGCTTGCAATTCACACAAACATTATGATTAAAACCAGAAACTCCTTGCACTTATTTAATAGATATATTCGGAAAGCTACTTAGCTAATCATGGCTTGTCACTTTTTTTTTTTTTTTTTTTTTTTTTATAATCGAATTTACCTCAATGGAAGGCAATAAAGTCACTAAAACACAAGAGCGTGAAAAAATTAGAAAATAGAAATATTATAAAGAAAAGAGAACACTAGAAGTTTAATCAAGATGACAGTAGATAGCGATTTGCATTGCATTTAAATTTATGAAGATCAAAGCACAGAGCCGGAAAAGAGTTCCACAACTAAGAAGTGCGAGAAAATAAACTGTTAACATAGAACATACGGTTACATCTAGCCAATTCAATTGTAAACTGATGATACCTTGTTGCCAATCTAGTACTGCATCTAAATTCATAAACTCTAAGTACCATAGCGAAGGGTGATATTTATTTGTGAATTATTTAAAAAATGAGGCACAATGCCAAAATGGGGAATGGGGAAAAGAACGGTCTTTTTCTGTCTTAATGTTAAACTTAGCTAGCCACAAACACTGACCCAAACATACAACATTATTCCTTACACCAAAACAACGCATTCTGACTTACCTTTCTTACTACATTCGCCATAATACCTCATTGTCTCTATGAAAGTTTTAACTAGTTCCCTTATGTACAATTCAGGGGAATAAAATAACAATCTAAAAATCTAAACCCTAGTGAATGTTTACAAAAATGAATAAAACTACGTAAATATAAGAAACTAAACAAAAATAATGTAGTAGAAATATCAGTTGACGAGACGAAATTAATGCGGGACTATAATAATATAAAACATTCATTCATCCCAAGCACTCACGCAGACACACACTCATTCAGGCACAACAACAAATATGAAAAATAAACCCGAAATGAAGAGCTGATTCGAACAATTACCATGAACCATATTTATAGTAAAGGCACAGGGAATCAACTTTACGGCGATGGGAAAGTGACTGAAGCCGAGACGCCAGATCAGGACCAATAATATTGATGATTCTTCTAAATATATAACAAGAGTACTGGACCATATGTGTCAGTAATATTCTTGTTCACTATTAAAGAAAAACAATTGTTGGGTGTTGAAACACACCTATGGTTCTAACGGAGGATGAATGGCAGCTTTCCGATAGTTATTGACTAAGCTTATTTTAGTTATATCATAAAACCCGCAATAGTGGGGTCAACCATGAGGCCCGAACTTATTATATTTACTGATAGTCTGAGAGATGGTACTGGAAACTACTGTTTTACAGCAAGCGAACCATTATAATAATTTAACCATTTTTTCTAGGTTTCCCCAGAGTAAATGTCTTTTAATAAGCGACCTTTTTCTTATTCAAATTTCTTACTCATTACGGTTGCATGTTTTTCTACGACTCATGACATCGACGATTCGCTGTGATGTAATGGTTAACAAGCTACTTCAGCAAACTATTACTCCTGTAGTGAGTTCGATCCCGATTTTAGCTTTGTGCCACACTAAGCAATACTGAAATAACTATAACTTATGAATTTAATCAAATGAAAAACTTTCTGCATAATTCAACGCACAGAACAAAAGCGTATTCATAGCAGAGAATTCTAAAGCAACATTCAAAACAGCAGGTTTGTATTGCTCACTTCAGTGATCCTTCTTTAACAAAGACATCACCTCATGAGATTCAAGAAATAAATGGTTTCATTATATGTTGACCAATGGAAACATTTTCTGTGTATCACTCACTAAAATAACCACGTCACAGTTTTTTTTAAACTGTCTAAAACAAAACTAAGGAAATGGGTGTTATGGTCATCCACTGTGGCCTCGTGGAGCTTTCAATCGAATTTGGACCTTACATTCTCTTGTGATATCTGAGGGAGACTGACCTACTTCGCTCTGGAGCAGTTGTTTATATATCTATCTATGATAAGCAAATATAAATGGATATAAATCCGACAGAATGAAGAAAATATCTGGAAAAACAGAACGGAAAGCTGATCATTTAAAATTTTCATTTATATTTGCTTATCATACTGTCCACTGGAAATACAAACCTGAATTCATTTTATTACATGGAGGACTGCATGCTTATCCGAAGATACAGGAATCTACTAGTCTCCGCGTATTCCTAGAAGAACAGAAAAGATTTTCTAACGAACTGTATATATGAAAAATCTTTCCATCGGAATCAAATTTATAAAAATTTTTAAGAATACGTTTTGAAAGCGTCGCCCATTTGACGACAACGTGACCACGCTCAAACGGAAAGCTGATCATTTAAAATTTTCATTTATCTGTTTTGGATAAGACATGTTTTTTATGTCCATTGTTTTCGTCGTGTTATACTGATTATGTTAATTGTATTTTTAATGAATATTGTCCTGAAGAAGGTTATTAAACCGAAACGTCAGACGTCGACATTTCATTCATATTAAAACAACATAATCGCATTTTAAGGATTTTTGTTTTGTTTTCCAGATATTTTCTTCATATCTATCTATACAATGTTTTGTTTTTCTCATGCATGCACATCTCAAGTGCAGCCTTGCCCGCAGTGGTTCATCTCTCGGGTCACCACTGACAACGGGTGAGTTGCGGATCTCCACCGCCGGCTGAACTTAATTAAGGTCAAGCATGTATATCTCTTCATTCACAGTTGAGTTCAGAGCCCATTCTTGCATGATGCTGTGTTGACACAAGCATTACGCAAACAATATCGTCATTATAGGACTCTTCAAAAAAAAAAAAAAAAATTGTGGCAGATTTCTATTTTAAAAGTATTCTTATTCCGATATAATGTTTCTAGATAACTTGTCCATTTGGTCAGAAAATAAATATCTTGAGCACAAATTCCCAAAACGCAAGGACAAGACTAAGTGACGATTCCCAAAGACTTTTATTTCTTTAAGCGGATCCCCGAGAATTACTGTACTAGCCAATCATGCTAAAGAGAAAAAAAAAGAAGATATTCCAACCAATCAGTCTTCTAGGATTCATTTTGTTTTTTATATAACAGTTTTAAAAATTGATAGATACTAGTTTTGCCGTGAACAACTCACAGCCACACGTTTCTGCTAGTTTGCTTCTCACTGCAGTGAAACAGTTGCATTCTCCCACATATTCGCGGTGATCAACTTCCGTTTGGACTCTGATCAGTTCATCTTCATTGACCTGACCGACCTATATATGAACTCTGACCAACTCGCTACACAGGTCTGCACGTGACTTATCCTGAGCACTATACGCGTTCTACTGGCCTCAGTATGTGGAATTGATCGCAGTATTTACAACTTCCATTTATATAATGATAACAAATTTGTTCGTTATTTTAAGACTGTCTTCTTTTTCTTCTTCTTTTCAACTACGTACATTTGATTGCTCTACCATTATTTGCATACTCGGACGAGGCATCTATATTAAGCTTAAAAGAAAAAGATAAATTTAGACGAAACTGAAGAACGAAAAAATACGAACATAAAACTGTAGCATAATTCTTATCATGGAAGACTAATAATAGGTAATCGAATGATAAATTAGAAAACTGGTGCATTTTCTCCCTAGAAGAAACTCTTTTTCAGGCTAACAATATTTTTATAAATCGAGTCATCCATCTATTCATCCATATATATATATATATATATATATATATGATTAGAAAGTTTAAATTTTTCTAAAAACTATGTAGACATTATGGATGATTAATTCAGAGTTATCCTAGCTTCCAGCAAAACATTATTGATAAATAATAATTTCATTTGGATTAACAGTCATAATAATAATTTTGACGTTCCTATGTAGGATTATTGATCCTAAAAAGGTTGGTCTTTACAGAGATGATGGTCTTATTTTCATCCCAAATAGTAATGGTCCACTATCTTCTAACATACAGAAGAAGATTCTAAAGGCTTTCAAATTCCTTGGTTTTAAAACTGAAATCTCATCTAACATAAAATAGTTAATTTCTTAGATATCACTTTCAACCTTCATAGCAACACATTTAAGCCATTTTACAAAGACAATCAACTGCCTATTTATATTAATGGGAACTTCACTCATCCAAATTCAATAATTAAACAAATTCCTAACACTGTAAACACTAGCCTTAATATATTCTAACAAAAAAACATCTTCAATGAAGATAAAATAACTTATAATGAAGCCCTCAATAATAGTGACTTCAAAGAAAAGTTATTTTACCAGGAATATTTGAAAGACTAAAACTAATGAGTCCAAAAACAGAAGAAAAATAATACGGTTCACCCCATCCTTTCTGTAAACTACCTAATGTAAATATTGAGAGATATTTTCTGAATTTAAATGATAAACACTTTAATCACAACAACCCACTACAAATATTTTTTAATAGGAAAAATCTAAAAATTAGTTACTCCTGTACAAACAATATATTTATATATCATTGACTCACATAAAAAAAAATATTAAAATCATTTTATGACAGCAACTTACCTAATAACAATCCCTTTTACAATTGTTGAACCAAAGCCAACTGCCCAGTTGGTGGCATTTGTAATTCAGGAAATGTTACATACCAAGTTACCATCTTTCCAAAAGGAAATATTAATGATAACAAGCATACATCAGTATCTCTGCTGGGAGACTGGCATTCCTTCTCTGATGTTTCTTTAATGCACCAAACTGCTCTCTCCAAACAATTCTAGAGACTTAAAGATAGAGGTTTCACCCAACAGATTAAATGAAATATCATCTGTCAATCACAAACTCCCCAAAACTTCCGAAATAGATGCAATGATTGTTGCTTTCTCGAATTCGCTAATTGGAGAAATCACACACGCTCTTGTCCTCAGTGGTTAACACGTTGAGTAATTCACCATTGCATCTTGGTCTGGAACTATTTGGTCTATCAAATACATGTCCACATGCGGCATAGTGTATGTGAGTTAGGACTAGGCTTCAGTCTCTTCATTATGCAATCCCCTTTAATTGACAATAACAAAAGAAAGAGTGTTGATAGCTTGAGCTCCGCAATCCAAGTAATTATTCAGATATTTTTGTCGATCATCTTTTCATATTAGATCACGTGATTTCGCACGTGTGTGAGATATTATTTTTAGATCTTACCCGATTTTGTTTCCAGGGTTATTTGGCTGTCCAACAGTTCATTCGACTGCTGACTTCAATAAGTTGAGAGTGGGGGAACGTCACAGTTCAGAGAAGGAAAGAGAGATGGTTCGCTATAGGTGTACAACTTATGGAGGGTCGGTTGCGTGGTAACATAACAATATATTAAAGACATTTTTATGTTTAACATTCTTTTTTATAGATAATGTTTCTGTTTATAATAAACAGTAACTGTTTATTATAAACAGAGCATTTACTTAAATACTTTATCTATAAAAAGAATGTTAAACATAAAAAATGTCTTTTATTAAATTGTCGGACTTTTGTCCAATTCTTAATGTATAACAATATATATATAATATATATATATATATATATATATATATATATATATATACGATTAATATAATTATAAAATTTGTCAGTTGGTTGATTTCGTACACGAGCACTTATGTTATCTCTCGGTCTAATTGTCGGGAGGTGTCAGCAGTCGTATATCATTATCGAATAGAGTGTAACAAGTTTGGTTCATATGACTACTGGTGGGTCTGTAATAGTGCGTTAAATAAGAATAGGTTTCTATCTCTGTTCACTCAATTTGTGGTTTTAACATCTGCTGATAAAGCAGAATGTTTTGCTCGTAAATTCTTTTCAAATTCAACTCTTGACTCATCTGGAGTATCTTTGCTCGACTTTCCACTTAGAACCGCTTCTCGAGATCAACTGCTGATATGCTAACGATTATTGCTGAAAGAGTCTGTCAAGCTTTAAATAAAAATAGTGAAGCTTGGGTCGTTGCTTCAGACATCTCGAAGACATTTGCCAGGGTTTGGCATTCTGGTCTTCTTTACAAACTGAAAGGTTATGGTAGTTCTGGAAGAGTTTTGGGGAACTGAATCACTCTTTTTTATCAAATCGTAAAATCAAAGTTGTCTTGAACGACCACTCTTCTAGATCTTTTTGTATTATCCTTGGAGCTACGTTGTTTCTAATTTTCATCAGTGACCTCTCTGGTGTCATCAGTTTTCAACTCAGTATCTATACTTATGACACGTCTATTTACTCCAGCCTTAATGTTAAATTTGATAGGTCCGCTAAGATCAAGCTAGCAGCTGATCTAAAAAATGACTTACAATCTGGCATTAACTGGAACAAGGAATGTCTTGTTAATCTTAACACCTCCAAAACAAAACCCCACTCTTTTAACCGTCTGAAAGAACCCCTTTTACCTTGTTATGCGCTCCCTGGAGTGGGGTGCAATGTTATATGGCCTGAGCACACAAATAAATATGAGGTCACAAGTGGCCCACTAAAATGTTTAATTTAAAGACGTGGAATCTGACAGGTGAAATAAAATTGACAACAGAACGAGGATATTTAAGATTGATACAAAATTTATTTACTATACAGACCAGAGTCGTTGCAGGTTAGCATGTGGGTCCGATGAAGGTGTTGAATGGGCTGGACAAGTACAGTGGTAAACCTTCCGTAGTATTATAACCGTAGTGTACGGGATAGGTTATTTGAATCTAGACGACATAGCCAAAGAGAAGAGAGTATCCTTTTAAGTGTCCGGTGCGGGCGTTATGTTGTAGCTGATTAAATCCAATGTCGGGTGTTGGTTTTATGCTGTTGCTGGTCGGGTCCAGTGGTGAACCTCTTGTAGAATTATAACCGTAGTGTATGAGATAGGTTATTAGAGTGTAGAACGATATGCATGCCACAAGTAGGGACGGGTGTGCAGCCGGGAGTTCGAAACTATAGTGAGCAGGTCCATTAACGATCAACCAGGTGAATTAGGTTAAAGAAAGTGATGTCAGAAGGAGTAGGGACCAATGAGTAGCCAGAAGTTCGAGGCTGTCATGAGCATGCCCATCAAGCCGTCAAACGAGTGATGCCGGAAGCAGGGACCAGGGTGTTGCCGGAAGTAGTAAAACCAGGAATTCCAGAAGCAACGGTCTGTGGCAGCTATAAGTAAGAGTCTATGGTAGCTGGATGTAGCAAGGCCAAGGGAAGCAGGGATCAATGTGTGGCCGAAGTAGCAAGGCCAAGAACGCCATTAGTAAGGGTCTGTGGTGGCCTGAAATAATGCAAGAGTGTGTTTGAAATAATAAAGACCAAGAGTGCCGGAAGTAAGGGTAGATAGGAAAGCCCAACTAGTGTCTAGTTGGTAGACAAACATAAATGGAAACGTAACTTATTACATAACCCGTCCAAGCGCCCTGTCCACAATGGACAGGAGCCTGCGTTTCTTCTCTCTCTGACTCCTTGAATTTGGCGAGAAGTCACCGAGATATATTAAGAGAGTGTAACAACAATCAAAGTTCTCGCAAAATACTAAAAATCTCAAGAAAAAATAAGCTACAAAATATGAAAGTATAAAAATAGTCATGAAGTGCATTACGAATAGGTTCGTAACACAAAGAGAATTAAAAAGTCGTTAGGTCAATTATGAAATTAAAGTAAATTACAGAAAGTGTAGGGAATACAGCGAAAAGGTCAACGTCGAAGTGTTTGCTTAGATCAAGTGTACAGCGTAGCCAGGGCTACGATAACCTTCCGTCAGCATAACTGAGACTAACTTCAGAAAGAGTGACTAACGTTTTCCGCTGAGATGAAAAGGAAAGTTTATATTGAATCAATTGATAGATCTGATGCTAAGAAAGTTGGTTCACTGTGTCGAACTAGACAATTTTCTCATCAGAATCTATTTTACACGTTTATAAGCCTACCATTCATCTGTTCTTTGAATATTTCTGCCACATCAGGCCCGGTGCTTATATTTAGAGATTCTTGATAAAATCCAAAGAATCTGCAATGTTACTGGTCTTGACCTGGTATCCCGGCTTCTGTCGCTTTCCCACTACCAAAACGTAGTTTCCATGTGCCTTTGTACCTTTTCTATAAATACTTCCATGGTAATTGTTCCGATAAACATTCCTCTATGGTAACTATACTTTATGAATACAGTACTAGATTGGTGGCAAGGTCACATCAATTTAAAGTTGAATTGGCTAGGTGTAACCGTAAGTTCTATGCTAACAGTTTCTTCTATCGTTTCTTCTTGATTGTGGAACTCTCTTCCGGATTTTTGCTTCCAAGTCAACTGAGGTCTTCAGAAATTTACATTACTGTCTTCTTAATTCATGTTCTTTTATTGTTCTCACTCCTTAATAGTGTTTTTTTCTCAAATTCTCTAACACCTCGTAACTTCTTGGCTTTATTGCTTTGCATGGAGTGAAATTCTTTTAAAAAAATGTCAGTGAATGTTGAAGAATGTTGGCAGATGAAGAGAAGACTTGGGGCAACAGAGATGCAATTCTACAGAATGATGCTGAGAATATCATGGACGAAACATGTGAACAACATGGAGGTTTTAAGGGAAATGACAAAGAAAACACCTTTACATAGAATCAGAAAGAGACAGTTGACATTTCTAGCAAACACAATGGGGAAAGAACAGTCAGAGAAATTTTACAATCAATAAAAAGATAAACATTTATAAGGATAGGAAGTTGTAGAGAGCCATGACAGCCAAAGTTGTGAAAAGGAACAGCACGAAGAAGAAGAGTTTTATATAGAAATCAAGATTTTAAGATCAAACAGTATTTTTCATATCGGTTTAAAAATGAGCATCCATTTTGTCAAAATGCATTAGTTGACACAGAGCATAAACTTCGAAAAGAATTGTCGATTTGATCTTAACTTAAACTCTTGGACAGTGTGTGTTTTCGAGATACAATGTTCAAAAAGTGTCCCTCATATTGATTAAAGGAACTATTTTACCTCCTGTGTGTTTTCCACTCTGTGTTGGCAGTCACACTTCAAGATTTCAACGCCTTGTTAGATTGATGTCGTTAAGCAGTATATTTTTCTTCTCCCCAAAATCCAAATACAGAGTGTGAAAGATTGTTTTGTCATACGATATAACGCCCATCTCTTGAATTATTAAACAAGATAAACAACGAAGAGCAGAATAAATTGTATGAAATGGCTGATTAAAGTAATTAGGATTTAACTGAGAGCGTTGGGAACAATGCAATCAGATTGAGATTGTTCGTAGTAAAATGTTTGCTTTTTACTCGGTTACACAACGAATGTCGTCTGTCAAAATTAGTTTGCCTGGCAAGTATTTATAGGGGACATTTACGATAGAACTTTCTTTTTAAATGTCTTTTTCATTTCTTTTTGTGCACTTATCAAATATACGCCCTGCAAAGACTAGCAAGCTTGAAGATTAATTTTACTTACTCTTCTTTCTCTCTCTTTTTCTTTCTCTCTCTCTCTCTCTCTCGCTTTCTCTTTCTCTCTCTTTCCTCTTCTCTTTCTTTCTCTCTTTTATTTCTTTCTTTCTCTCTTCTCTTTCTCTATTTTATTTCTCTCTCGTTTTCTCTTTTCTCTCTCTCTATCTCTTCTATTTTCTTTCTCTCTCTCTCTCTCTCAATTTTTGTTTATTTTAAGACAACAAACAGAGAGAGTAGGTACCTCCACGAAAACAATCAATATACCGTGTTGAAAACATGCTCTAAACATAATGAAAACACAGTTTTATCGTCAAAATGAAAGTATTTTTTTTATTATTGAATTAAATTTTTTGCTTCTTTTTAGAATATTCGAATATTCAGGCCGGTAGATGTAAATAAATATGCATAATGTTTGATAATAAAAAACAAAGCATCTACTCAAATATGAGTATCCATTAAAAATAACATTTAAACAAATAAATTTATATATCTGTCTATATTTCTGAGATGAGGTATTATGTACATTATTTACATTATTCGGACTATTATCCTCATCTTGGTCGCCATATTTATCACAACGTTTCGGCCGTTGTACGCTCCGGCCTTCTTCAGGTGGTTGGAATGTCGAACTGAACCCTTTATTTCGCTCTCTGGGGTAGACTGTTCTAATTCCACGTGCCATGTTTGATGGATGTCAGTTATCAGTTATCTCCTGCTAATTTTCCTCTGAAAGTTCTCCACTGCCTTAACCGGGTATTGAAGTCATACTCTTTGGGTCCTGTCACTGGATCTAACCAACGCCTTTATCCACTGTGCCATGTGTCCTTGAGGACAGCTGGGTATTGGAAAATTCGTAAACTTAAGGAATCAGCACATGTGCTAGGCCACAAAAACCTCCTGAGCCGACCAAACATAGAAATAAATACAATATGGGAACCAGTAATAAGGAGTGCCAGAGAAAAGCAATGATAACAAAGTTGCAATATGAGTTCTGGTAAAGACATGTAATGATAACAGCAAAATTACAATATGAGCACTGGTAAAAATGGTTGCTGAAGAGATTAGGTTTATAATACCCAGAAATTCATACCCAGATGTCCTCAAGGACACATGGCACAGTGGATAAAGGCGTTGGTTAGATCCAGTGACAGGACCCAAAGATTGTGATAAATATGGCGAGAAAGATGGCGAGAAAGATAAGGACAATAGTCCGAATAATGTAAATTTATATATATATATATATATATATATATATATATATATATATATATATATATGTTTTCTAATTAAATAATATCTTAGTTCTATTGCTGATTTTCTGGTGATCCTATTTCACCAAAAGTATTTGATGATTTAAATTATTCGAGGACTTACCCATTAACACTAACGAAAAGGACAAATGATCACGGTAGCCTACACGTATGCACATCCACGTGCAGACGGGCGCGCTAACGCACATCCGCAGAGACGGGCGCATGGCTGCACGCGCACAAACGCACGCACGAACGCAAAATACAGAAAAAACTTGCACCAATGTTAAATGTATAAAAAAAGAAAAAATAACAAAAATATATAAGCAGTTGATACTTCATGAAGAGTGGACGGGCAGGTCCACCTACGTAACTCTGGAGTCGGGATACTGAAGGTAACATCAATTATCTAAGTGACAAACTTTTACCCACATTAATACTATATATATATATATATATGTGTGTGTGTGTGTGTGTGTGTGTGTGTGTGTGTGTGTGTGAAAAATATATAGAAAATAGGAAAGAACTCGTTAGGTAAATAATCCAAAGTTCTTTAGTATTTTTGTTATTATTTTAAAAAAAACAGTGCTCGATACAAAAGTAGAGCATAATTATAATTATTTATTTAAAAGTAAAATGGAAAATTATAAACAAAACTAGAACTTGTAAAACTTGGGATGAAACATGAGAACTCTTATGTAGCGTGTTGGAATCATAATTTTAAATAAATAATTATATATATATATATATTGTTGTGTCGTGGCACAATAGTAAAAATAAGAAAATCAAGTCGAAGTTGGTTTAAAGAACAAGTGTATTTAACATCACAGATACAAAGGTAGGAAACGGGTACTACTCAGCTAGGCAGTTGTAGTACTGTCGCTGCTTACACCGGGTAGGTATTACTGGCACTATATATAGTGAGAACCGGTGTAATTCCCTTGTGTTAGAGGCCGGTGCAACACCCCACTTTGAAAATATCCCGTCTGGGAATTAATAACGTTTTTGTTTTGGGTTCACCCTAATCAACTCCGTTGATTTCCGTTTTCTTTCTGACCTCCTATTCTCAGGAGCTGTCTCTGGTATGGGAACCTGAAAAGTATCAAACACTGTGTCCATGATGTCCTCCTCGGGCGATCTGGTCACCTCACTGTTCGAGTATCTTTTCCGGATTTGGTTAGTGTGACGTTTGTGCACGAAATCTGGTCCCTTAATCATATAGACCATGTTGCCTATTTGTTTCTCAATAGTGCCGGACTCCCAAAAGGTCCTATTATTTCTATGCATCTTGTAGAAAGCTCTTTCACCAACTTTTTTTTTAGGTTTGGCCTATCCTGGTTTGGTAACAAGTTGTGGAAAATTGATCTAACCTTGCGTCCGAACATGACCTTCGACGTTTCGATGTTTGTATTCGGAGTGACCCTGTAAACGTGTAAGAACTGTTGGATTGACTTATCCGTCGGTGATCCACTAGCCTTTCTCAGGGCTCTCTTGAACGTATCCACGAATCTCTCCGCTTGCCCATTGCTTCTTGGATGGTACGGTGGAATGGTTATATGTTCGGTTAGATAATCCTCGCAGAGATGTTTAAATTCGGTAGACGTGAATTGCGTTCCATTGTCTGTGACAATGCAGTCTACAACTCCAAACCTAGCGAATAGTTCATACAGGATGATGATAATAGCTGCCTCGGATGTGGGGTTCTTGCATTTCAGTACTTCCGGCCACTTAGATAGACTGTCTATAACAATGAGATAGTAGAAACCATCTAACGGTCCAGCAAAATCCAAGTGAATTCTCGACCAAGGTCGGTCCGGTTTTGCCCACGATCCGAATTGAGTCGGAGGAGCTTTCATAGCTAATGCGCATCCTCTACACTCCCTGACTTTTTCTTCTATATCCTTATCCATGTTTGGCAAGAAAACGAAAGAGCGCATAAGGCTTTTCATTCTTGATATGCCTGGATGTCCTACATGGAATTCCTTGAGCATTCTTTTCTGTAATGTCGTAGGAATTACGACCCTGTCGGTATATAACAGGACGTTATCACAAATTGAATAAATTTCTTCATCCAGTTGGTTACTGTTGATTTTTTCTTTTGTGCTTATAATAAATTCGTCCACCTCTGCCTTACTCTTAATCTCATCAAGCGTTACTGGAAGTTCTCTTATCGTGTCACAAAATATTTTTTACTTCAACTTCCGCTTGAATGGCTGCTATGACCATATCCTCCAATGGTTCTGTGTGCTTAGATATTAACCTTGATAAGCCATCTGCATGACCAAGTTGTTTAGATGGTACACACTCCATTTGAAAATTATAATTCAGAAGAATGGTACCCCATCTTTGGAGTCTATTCGCCGTATGTTGTGGTAGTCCCTTTTTCGATCCAAAAATCGTTAGTAAAGGTTTGTGATCTGTTTGTAACAGAAATTGTCTACCGTGCAAGAAACAATGAAATTTCTTTACTGCGAATATAATGCTTAGCGCCTCTTTCTCAATTTGCGAGTAGTTCTTTTCGGCTGGTAAAAGTGAAAGGGATGCATGGGCTATGGGTTTTATTTTTCCATCATCCATTTTGTGTAGTATGCATGCTCCTATGCCATAGGCACTGGCATCGCTTGCAACTATAATATCACGCTTGGGATTATAATGTGCCAGAAACAAGTCAGACGTTAATATATCTTTAATTTCCTGAAATGCTTCTTCGCACTCTTGCGTCCAGACCCATTTTTGGTCCTTCCTTAACAATTCATTTAAGGGTGATCTTAGTTTATGCATATTTGGCACGAATACATTGTAATAATTCGCCAACCCTAAGAAACTTTCTAGAGAAGCAATATTTTCTGGAGCAGGCATGTCCCTTATTGCACTCGATCTATCTGGATCCGGCCTTCTTCCATGTTCATCGATAATTTGCCCCAAGTATTTTATTTTTTCCATGAAAAAGGTACATTTTTCCTGTTTCAGTTTAAATCCATAATCCTGGATCCTTTTGAATACTTGGTTTACATGAGCTTTGTGTTGTTCTTTGCTAGCGCTGTTCATTAACACATCATCCAGGTACCCTAGTGCGAAGTCCAGCCCCCTTAACATCATGTCCATTGTTTGCTGAAAAATCGCAGGGGCGATTTTAACCCCAAAAGGAAGTTTGTTAAACTTGTATAATCCCTTATGGGTATTGATGCATAGCAGCTTTGAACACTCCTGATCGACTGGGATTTGTAAATACGCGTCACTGAGGTCGATTTTAGAAAAATATTTCCCTCCACTCAGTTTCGCGAATATTTCTTCAGGGCTCGGAAGGGGATAATGGTGATCCTTTAATGCATTGTTTAAACCTGTTGAGAAATCGGCACAAACCCTAATCTCCTTGCTCTTCTTTTTTGATGTAGACTGTTGGCGCAGCCCACTCACTGTGATCAAATTTTCGAGGACACCCATGTTTTCGAGTCTTTCTAATTCACCGTCTATTTGTTCTATAGCGGCGTATGGAACCTTTCTTTTTTTTTTGAACACTGGCTGTTCATTTTCTTTGACTTCAAATTTTGCTACCGCTTTTGTACACCTTCCAAGACCGCCTGTAAATACGTCTGGAAAATTCTCTTTTAACTCCCTCTTAAGTTTTTCTGCCTCCACATTCGAATCCTCAACTTTTTGACAAAAAGGCAGATCCCATAGTCTAAATTTTTCGAACAGATCCGTTCCAAAGAGGTTATTTGATTTTCGCATGACAAAAATTTTCGCTTTTTCGGTCTTATTCTGAAAAGAAATATTCGTCAATAATTCTCCTTCGAAGGTGATTTTTTCACCACTGACGCTTCTCGCCGTTTTATGTGATTTAATCATAGTGGGTCTCCCAAGCTTCTTCCATGTCTGTATATTAATGATGGAAATATCAGACCCACTATCAAGGTGTAGTCTTACTTTCTTTTTAAACATTTTGACCTGTACAAATTTCGGGATATTTCGTTCCTCAGGTTCAATTTTCGTTAGTTTAATGGATGTCTTCTTTCTACCAG